ATAAATAAATAATACTTCTAACAGTACAGTAGTATAGTTAGTAGAGGGAAAAAGGTGTTGTAAAGTAAAAAAAAAAAAATTCCAAATAATATTTTATGCGTGTTTGCTACTAATTTTTTTCAGTATAAACTGGGTCTTTATACATGAAAATATGCAGCTGACTTTTAAATTTTAGGATGGACGTCCCTCACATGCTGATGATGCAGTGTACCTGGAAGCGGAGGATGATGGTCCAGATGAGTCCGAGCGTGAGTCGGTGGTTTCCGTCCACGATATCATGTGACCCCATGTTCTCCAGATGCACGCGCTGCTCCTTGAGGAACTGCAGGGCCTTGTCCACGTTCTCCAGACAGTGGATTCGCATGCGACCTTTCGTCGGCTTGGGCTGTGCAGAGATCAGAACGCGTGTGTGAATTAGACTGCTTTATAACATGCATGCATGTTCGTTTTATAATGCATCTTTATTTGAGTTCATTTGAGTGCGGTAAGGGTTAACAGCCATATCCATTGCATGCAGAATCTAGTAACTCGACCCGTGAGACTCAGCGCAGCATGAGTTAATGATGCAGTGGCTTTTGTTCCCGTCGTTCCTGCAGACAGGTTCATCGGCTATTTTTCTTTCTGGCACATTTCTGGAAGGAAAGAAGGTCTCACAGGAAAAGCTACGTGTCAAATGATATGATATATTAAACTCCTCAGGAGGGAACGTCCTATTTTTTACATTAAGGCCAAGTGAAGAAGACCAGAGTGACCACAGTTCTTCAGAACTCTTTGAAATAACGTTGCACGTAGGGGTATGCATGAAACGCATGAAGTTTCCTGGAGCTTTTATATTTTTAGGTCATGTAGAAATGGGTGAATGAGTAACCGGGTTGTTAAACAGCGTTGTGCTTCGGGTGATGCTTATGAGCAGACTTTGAACTGAGGCGCGACTGGAGAAAAGCTGCTGTAAAATTGCATGTATAGTTGTATAAAAACATTTTTTTTTTAATTGAGTAAATAAATGTTTTGTTCCGAAAAACTGTAAAAATAAAATATTTAAAAAATAAAATAAAAATATATAGATATAAATAAAAAAACTAAATATTTTCAGAAAAACTGTCAAAATAAATAAAATATAAAAATAAAATAAAAATAAATAAATAAATACAAATGTGTATTAAAATCAGGGCTTAAAAACAAAAAACTAAAAAAAAACAATTAAATCGGTTCACTCCAAGCAGAATCAGTATTTTAACGTTTCTATTCATGCGTTCCTTCTGTATTATTACCATTCCAAAACCGGTTTGAGTAGAAAGAATACCGGTTAATAACGTTATTTTTTTACTTTTTTTTTTTGTGCCTATAATAATAACAATTACAGCATTTTCTTTACTCACAAAAAAGTATCTTGCGTCTAGTCATAGCCAATACAGATAATCTTTTATAACAAAAAATAATGTACATACAATATATTATTTATAATTTGGAGAAAGCTGTTGTGTGATAAAATGGATGAGCTTGAGAGCAGAGGTCGAGCGGCCCATGTCTCTGGAGGACTGGCTATCCCATCATGCTTAGAGAGACGGCTCAATCAGCAGCTGATCCTCAGTGGACGCGCTTAAGGTGAAGTGACAGCATTTCACTAATGAGCTGCAGGGCAGCGGGGCAGAACGAGGCAGGATGGATATCCATCCTCCCTCTGAGACACGGAGGTGGTACGTTCCTCTCAGAGCAGGTAAGAGGACCTCACACACACACACACACACTAGAGCCCGACCGATATATCGTTTAGCCGATTTTATCGGCCGATATGAGCCTGTCGCCGATATATCGGTATCAGCGAATATGCCGCCGATATTAATTTTTTTTTACAGAACATATAACGCAGATTAAATGCTTCGGAATGGTGTAATTACTTAGTTTGTCCAGCAGAGTGCGCTCCATTCTTTGCTACTGGCGACCCAGGTCAGTGTAGCGTAGAGATGCGCGGATGAGCTCAAACTTCACCCGAGTCCACACCTATATTTGATCATCACATTACAATGATTCTAATTCTTAGTTTTGCATGATGATATGATGAATGGATGGCTCATTTTAACAGTAGATTCAGTGACGTTAGAGACTAGAGCTGATCTGCGCATCACGGCACGCGTCTGCGGCGCATTAAAGCCTGTGTTACGGCCACCGCTCGCGTCCGGTGTAGAATAGAAACCATTATAATCACTGGATTCAGTAAACTGATGCCTCGTTCAATTTATGACGTGCTGACACAAAGTTCAAATGATTTTCAACAGTCGCTTTGTTGCGTCCTGTTGCGGTGCAGACACGGTGTCAGCATAGTTTGTCAGTACAGTCGGTAACGTAGCAGATTGAAAAGTTAGTAGGCTGTCTTTCTGCAGTCCAATAGACGGCAGTGCTGTGGTGGCTTGAGTCTGTTGAATGGTGATTTAACGATCACCACACTTGAGTTATCATTGCAAAAAATGTGTTTATGTATATATATTCTGTTTATGTAGGCTATATGCTGTATTCTATATACAGAACCAGTCAAAAGTTTGGACACACGAATGGGAAGTTTCTACATTTTTTACTCCCTAATATTGGTATCGGCCCCCAAAAAACCCATTATATACATACATTTTAGTTAAATATTTTTGTAAAATGCTATATTTTTTAATAAAATTATATAGATAGACAGATAGATAAGATAAATATAGATATATAGACGTATATAATTTTTTTAATAAAGCTGTCTAATTATAATATATATAATATAAAATGATAAGATAATTTTTTTTTAAATGATATACAGAAAGTCCATCTGAGATTTTTCTTGTAAATGAGCATTTTTATCAGGCTCCTATGCAAATAACTTTGTAGATTTTTGAAAATAAGGTATTCAATAACTGATTAATAACCTTTTCTTTGCCATTAAAGTGAAATTACTGAACCTAAACATAGGAGCCTGATAAAAATGCTCAATTAAAAGAAAAAATTTCAGAATATACAATTCTGGTTTTTATATGAGACAAATGGCTATCATGAAATTGTATTATATCATATTTTAACATAAGCCCTCCATAACCTAAAAAATAATTGTCTATACTATAGAGTGCTGCTAACATGCTTTATTTTATTCGTTATCAAGCATATGTTTGCGATGAATCAGTGTTTTGTTTGGATGCTTGAACTTGCTGTATCTGTGAAGACAAGTCCCACACTCACACACTCACACACTCACACTCACACTCACACTCACACTCACACTCACACTCACACTGCAGAGACTGCAGTGCAAGGCGTGGCATCAGCAGTTTTCTACTGGACGGCTGCATCAGTAAAGCTGCTCTGCCTTTCACAGCAATTTCTGTAAAAGCAAGAGTGATCGTCCTATTAGCCAATCACACGATCAGATCACTGATGAAAGACCAGACCCACAGGCGTCTGATAAAATCCAAATTACAACAATTTCTGTTCACTGAGGACAAAGCCTTACTGAATATCCTGACAAAACCCTTGAAACAGCAAAGTGTGACAAATAATTAATAATTGGCTTGTATGTCTACTGTAAATTTATATTATAATTCTGTTTTCAATCTATCTATCTATCTATCTATCTATGATATATTTTTTTATAATGTATATATAAATAAAATACATATAAAAATATAAAAAATATTTAGAAAAAATATAATATAATATAAATAAATTTTTTTGTTTCATATTTTGTAAAACACTAAATGCATATTTACACAATTTGCATTTTGCACAATATTTATTTAATCAATTACATTTTCTAATTATTTATGTACATAAAGTGGTCTAATTCTAATATATAATTTATTACATTTTATTAAATACATTTATACTCCTATGCAAATAACTTTGTAGATTTTTGAAAATAAGGTATTCAATAACTGATTAATAACCTTTTCTTTGCCATTAAAGTGAAATTACTGAACCTAAACATAGGAGCCTGATAAAAATGCTCAATTAAAAGAAAAAATTTCAGAATATACAATTCTGGTTTTTATATGAGACAAATGGCTATCATGAAATTGTATTATATCATATTTTAACATAAGCCCTCCATAACCTAAAAAATAATTGTCTATACTATAGAGTGCTGCTAACATGCTTTATTTTATTCGTTATCAAGCATATGTTTGCGATGAATCAGTGTTTTGTTTGGATGCTTGAACTTGCTGTATCTGTGAAGACAAGTCCTGACAAAAACAACCATTCAAGCACATGGACAGCGGCCCTGCTGGAGTCAGATTTAATATCTGTGAGATGAATTATGGCCACAGATATAGTTTGATTAAGCAGATAAAGGGGGGGAAGTACTGACACTCTACTCTTGAAGCGTGTTTCTTCATTAAGCGGTTGCTATAGTAAGTGAATCGGAGCACAGACACAGATCACGGTCAGTGCTGGTATTGATGCATTCTAGGTAAAGCTTTCTTCCTCTCGACTTGTGTAAACCAATCTAGACGGGCTGCTTGATAGGGTTTGAAATTCAAGCTACACTTCGAGCCCTCGCCAAAAACGGCGATGAGTTTCACTGCCCTCCACCATGACCGCACCGTGTCAGTGCAAGAGCTTCGCTTCAGGAAAAGTCAAGTGATAGATCACTAAAACGTCTCATTTTAGGATGTGACTCGTGGCCTTGATGAATAAGGCAGGAAATGTCAAAGGAAGGCGTTTCCTTTGTTGGCACACTGACGAGTTATCTTATCGTGAACCTTGAGAGATAGTGAAAGCATGTGTGAACATAAACGCTGCGGTTACACATGGCTCTTTCACACACACTTACTCACTCAATCCTGATGTTTCATATTTCCTATAGAGTTGTTTGTTGAGGCTTCTGTTAACGATCTAGTAAACATTACTTAACCTTCACGATGCATTCAAAATCTGTATGCTATTGGTTTTATAAAACAGTCATGGTCATAACTTAATATTTTTCATTTAAAACCATATCGTATGTGATCAGCAAATTCTCATTAATGAGTGAATATGAAAAAATGTCAACGTTTCCATGTTATTACTGTATTTACCCCTTTTGGTAGAACTTCATTTTACAGTCCTCTTCCGCATGTACATACTATGTACTTGTTATAGTAATTACAATAACTGTTTAATTACTAGGTACTAACCCTGAACTACCCCGAAACCTAACCCATGTAGTTACCTTATATTATCCAATACTTTCTTAGATAAGTACAAGTAAGTGCACGGACTGTAAAATAAAGTGCAACCCCCCTTTTTTATTAATTGAAGAAAACTGAGAAATTCTTTTAAATTTCCAATTACACATAAACTACAACAAACAAACTATGATGCTAAATATTTATATATTTTTGTCCAATACTGGTGATTAATTTTATTAGAATATATCATTGTATTAAATTTATAAGAACATATAATTTGAGAATTACCTGCATTAACCCCAAGATAGTTGAAAAAAAAAACATTGAAAATAGTTCAATTCTTTTGAATTTATAACTCATGCTAGTTCAAAAACAGTCCAAATGTATGAAACCTGCATATTTATTTCTAACAAAAACATCAAAACAACATAAATATTACTCTGGAAAGTTTTCAACAAAATTAATTAATTTTACTTTGCATAAACTCTCACTTACAGATGAAACAAGTGATGAATTTTTCATGCTGCAATGGCTCGTCAATAGCCGTACATATTCATGTTTATCAACAAAATTCAGTCCAGAATTGTGTCAGATATGGGTAAAAGCCTAAATATATTTTACAAAGGTTTTTTGACACTAATATAACTTCATAGATCATTTTACAAAAAGCATTATTTTTGACAAAAAATGTTTTAATTATTATATTGCTTAAAAAATAAATAAAATAAATTATGTGTATTTAGAGGGTCTTAAAGCATTTGCAAAGTTTTGTTCCCTTACTAAAATCTATGGTTTTTTTTGTGCATATTTTTATGCATCTCTTCCGGATCAAGAAGGACCCGATGTGTTATTCAGGACAGAAATACAAGCTTGTTGGTCAATCTGGTTTTGAGTATTCAGCGTCTTATCAGTCTCAGCCCTGTTACAATAGTTTAACTGACGCCCCACAACTGTGTTTCACACACAAAGGTCACGACCTGTTGACACAGATGTTAGAGTTTAACTATGGATCAACTCTGATGAGGAGACGTCTGGCCGTCTGGAAACATACAACTTATGACTTATAGATGATATTAATCTTATTCTATTCAAAATCTCACTGAGAACATGTTTAGGTCAATTCTCACCACTAATATATCTGGATGTATTTGAATTTTGAGTACATGTAAATAAATAATACACTTAAAAGTACAGTAATATAATGTGTAGGAAAAAGTGTTATATGTAAAGTAAGATAAATTATTAAATATATACTAAATATATTTAAAAAAATAAGTATTATATTAAAAATAAAAATAAATAATTAACTAAATAAATAAATGATCAATTTACTAATATATCCAGATTTCTTTTTTTTTGTTTTGTTTTTTAGTTTATTTGCCATTACGATTCTTATTAGATTCTCAAATAAAGCTGAAATAAAATATTAGATTAAAAACAAATGAAAATTAGAAATGTTGCCTTGGCAACAAAATTAAATAAGTTGAAGTAGTAAAATGACTAAAACTACAGCTAAAATTAAAATAAATCTTTTTTTTGCCATTTTTATTAGTTAAAAAATAATAAAAATGGCAAAAGCACAAAACAAAATTACTTTAAAATAAGAAAATAAAAGCTAAATATTAAAAAATAATTCGTAAATGCTATAATAGTATATAAATAATACTAAAACAACACTGGAATAAAGGCAGTCCTGCCATACTACATATTACTAAAACATATATACAAATTTATAAACTTTAAATAATATTTTTGGCAATACATAAGTGACAAAGTGACTAGGCCTCAAATTAAAAATTGTAGGGCAAAAAAGTATGGAATTGTTTTTGTTATTGACATTATAGAATTCAAACATTAGTGTCACTTAATGGAGAATTACATTACTGACAATGCAAAAAAAAATCATAATGGTCCTAAAAAGGCTTAATTTTCTTTATGCAAAACATAATTTTGTATTTCTATTTTGTTGTGAAATATGACCTGGGCATGTTCTTGACAGATTCATCCTTCTAAATGTTCCCCCTCATTATCTTTGTGTTTGTTTGTTCTGATCATATCACAGACTCTACATAGTTTCCATCTGTGTTTTTGTAAGCAGATAACAATAATGCACTCCTGGTGCAAAAAGCTGGTGTTTTAACAGGCTATTTTCTCAAAAGTCTGCGCGTGCTGAGTCTCTGGACAGGAAAGAACCGCTTCAGGCAATTAGATGACGCACATGGTTAATGGCCCGAGAGAAAGCAAAACCACTGGGCTCGTCATCCAAACAGCACTGAAACCAAACACTGCTGGATTTGACTCGGCACAACCGGCCAGCAAAGTCACATTAAACAGGCTTCAGAGACGGAGAATGACAATGACCAAATATGGGCATAGTCTTTATGCTGATTCCGCTGGCCCCGCCCCCTGGCGATGACACCACCAGTCAAACTCACCAGTCTCTCTCCGGACAGAACCTCCAGCAGCTTGATGAGCATCCGTCCATCCCGCAGGTCCATGTAGAGATCCGTGATCCGGCACGACACGCGAGACAGGTGTGAGTTCACCCATTTGGTGAAGGTCTTCTTCTGCACGGCCTCTCGCTCGTCTGCAGGAGCACAATAAAGCGGTTTAGCAGCTGGAACTCAGAATTACAATACTTTCTCCCATGGTTCATAGGGGTTGTTAAGCACTGAGTATGTAATTGTGGGAAAATCACTCTTAACACATGACCTGGAGTGAACCGTAGCAACAGCAATACTATAAAACACCGCAACGATCAAAGGTTGATTAATAATTTCATAAACACGGTTTTTAATATGTTTATAATAATTTATTTCAATCAATTTTAATGCTAAATGATTTACTATAAAATATTATTTAAATAATGATTTAAATAAAACTATTTTAGTTTTACTTTTATAATAATAATAATAATGCACTTATCTAAAAATTATTTTAATTAATTTTGATTCAAAACTATTTAATATAAAAATATAATTTAAATAAATACTATGTGAATACCTTTATAATAATACTACACTTAGCTAAAATGTATTTCAATTAATTTGAAAACAAAATTATTTAACATAAAAATTAAATTTAAATAATGATTTAAATAAAATACAATTTTAATACGTTTAGAATAATAATAATAATAAATACAATTTAGTCCAAAATTATGTAATATTAAATATAATGAAAAAACATCATTTCTAAATACTTATATAATAGTAATTAATAATAATAATATTAATACTACTAATAATAATACAATTATCTAAAATGTATTTTTATTAATTTTAATACAAATGTATTTAATAATTTAAATAAAAAAATATTGTTAAATAAATAGAATAAAAATAATAATAACTCCCCATTATTTCCGTAAACAAACAAAAATATTAAAAAAAAAAGTTTTTCCAAATAATTATTATTTGCCATAATACAATAATACATTTGCCAACAGATTTTACTACGAGTTTTATACGTGCTATGTTTAGAATGGTATGAACTAGATCTTCTAGAAAGAAAGGAGGCCGTTGTAATGATCCACAAACATTGCAACATTTCCCCCCAAAAACATTCCCAAATACTAATGACTTTTTTTCTATGAAGAATCAAATTACTTAAAAATAGTCCGTGTGAAGCCACACATTCAACCGTGTCGCAACCCGAAACCCAGTTGTTCGCCCTGCCAAATGCAGCTCTTTATTTATAACCCTCCCAATTTTCCTGTTATTGCATTCCTCATCTTCACAAAAGACGTAAGCGTCTAATTCAATTGTTGTGGCGAGACGAGAGCGTTTTTTCCTGGTTGACCCTTGTGCGTTAAAGACGACAGGATGAGACCGGATCGCTGGACAAGAGTGACAGAACATGAGGGAGGAAAGACAAGAATGAGGCGAGAGAGAATGGAGTGAGAGGTCGTGTGTGACAGACGGACCCCAAATACAACAAACAGAGGAAGACGAACATCTGCTGATGAAGCAGGACAGAGGCCATACGCATCCACAGCTGGCGCGACATACAGAGTGTGTTTGAGCCTCGATTTCATGCCTGGGTGAATCTCACACAAACTAAACTAAACTAAACTAAACTAAACTAAAATAAAATAAAAAAAATAAAATAAAATAAAATAAAATAAAACAAAATAAAATTCTGTATAATGAAATTGATTTTAAAAAGATGATTAAATAAACTGAAATTAATAAATTGTTTAGGAAATTAAATAAAATAAAATAAATAAAATTCTGTATAATGAAATTGATTTAAAAAAGATGATTAAATAAATTGAAATTAATAAATTGTTTAGGACCATTAAGTTTTTTCACTGTGACATTATTTTCATGATAATTAAGCACTTTTCACCCCCAGCTGATCATTACTGTGATGTCATTTTACTTTCAAGCTTTTATTTTTTAATAATTATGATTTCAATTCACAATATTGTAATTCTTACCAGGATGAATGTGCTTACGTGTCATGAAAATAATAAAAACAATGCAAAACATGTTAGGTCCTAAATTAAAATAATAAAATAAAATAAAAATAAATTTTAATAAATTAAACAATATTTTAGCACCATTAAAAATATTTGAATTGTGAAATTATCTTCATGATAATTAAGAACTTTCTCACTCCCAGCCAGCCGCTCATTCCTGTAATATCATTTTAATGAGTTTTTTTATTTTAATAATTCTCAACATTGTAATTTTTACTGAATGAATGCGAATGTGAATGTGCTTAATTACTATGAAAATAAAGCAAAATAATGAAAACACTGCAAAACATATGTCCTATTTTTTTTTTTCAAATAAAATCAAATAAATACATTTTGTACAATGAAAATGAATTCTTATTAAATAAAAATATATACTTTTTTTAGGACCATTAAGAATTTTTGCACCGTAAATATTATTTTTGATGATAATTAAGCAAATTTTCTCTCCCAGATACACATTACTAAAATGTAATTTTACTTTAGAGCTTTTATTTTTGAATAATTCTCAAAGGCGACAGGCAATACTATAATTTTTACCGTGGTGAAATGTGCTTAAATTTAAAATAATGAAAACAACGTAAAACATGTTAGGTCCTAAAATATGCCTCATTTTCTTCATGCAAAACATTTCTTGTTTATATGTTTTAATTATTTCTCATTTCTTTCTTCTGATTTGAGGGTGAAATATGACCAGACCATGTTCTTGCTGGATTGTGTGATTTCTGCTCATGTATGTGTGTATGTCTGCATTATAGACAATGAGAAACACACTTGAACAGCATGTGCAGAACTGATGATTGATTTTTCCATAGGTGACAGAACAGCTATGAAAGCAAATCTTACATCGAACCATCGTCTCTCACGTCAAGCTTCATACACTCCTATACATACACAGAAAAGGGCTCACCATGTTTCTCATCATCATGTCTCTCTAAACTCTTACTGGATGACAACTAGTGATTTATTTGCATCTGTAAAAACATCTGAGACGAAGATACTCGAATGCAATATAACTGAGAGATTCATTAAACCTTGTGAACTGTTAAAGATCAAACTTCACTTTTCTTCTGGGTTCAGATTAGGGGTGTGCGATATATATCGTCTGCGATAATATCGTAATTGTTGTTTTAATGATGTGCGATTTGACATTATCGAGTATTTTGCAAAAACCATTCAAAACATCCCTACAGAGCGCACGCATACATTACGTGAAGTCTAGACTAGTGCGTGTGCGCATTTAGTGTGTTTTCTTTCACTGCATGATTCAGTCTATTAAAATGCATTTAGAATGATCACAAATTCAAGACATGATGGCAGAAAATGTATATATTTATACCACTTCATATAGTTATTCAATTTCACACGAAGAGTGCCGTTTTTCTCCAAAAATTACCATGATTACAAATGTGACATTGAATTCAATAAACAGTAAACAGTTAATTAAGAGACTTATGTTTTAGACACCATATTGCTTGACACACTCAGCAAAATATCATCTAATTATCGTTATCGATAAAATCCCAGAAAATATCGAGATATAATTTTTTGTCAATATCGCACACCCCTAGTTCAGATACACATGCAAATCACATTTATAAACTCAGTCCAAACCACAATATTTCAGAATGCATGTTTTTCCTGGATGGGGAAAAACTACATATTTCAACACAGCCAGCAAGAAAAACAGATATCTTCTGTTCCTTCCTCTGCTTGAACATCTGATTTGAATATACTTTGCATAATGGAAATGCATTTTAATTAAATACACTTTTTAAATATTTCTTTTAGGACCACTAATAATTTTTGCATCGTAATATAAAATAATAATAATAATAATAAAATAAAATAAAATGTATAATGAAAATGACAAAATACACTGAATGATAAATAAAGGTTTTAATTAATTTTAGGACCATAAAAATGTGTTGCATTGTGAATAAAATAAAATAAAATAAAATAAAAATGATTTCATTATTTTTAGGACAATTAAGAATTTTTGCATTGCAATATAAAATCAAATCAAACTATTTTTATAATCAAAATGCATTTTAATTAAATAATTTTAAAAAATTGCATTATATTTGTGATAATTAAGCACATTTTTGTGCTAATTCTCAATAGCAATTCCTCTACTTGAATGTCTGATTTGAAGATCTGAGCATCTTAATTCATTCAGCTAAGTGTCAAAGTGTCTAGGAGAAAAAACGGAGACATTATAAAGATCTGCACTTTCTCTTTCAGACGACCTGTTTCTGACTTTACAAGCTCTCTCCACCGTTTGGTCTGACGTGCCGCTGAACTATGGCTGCATTGTGAGCGATAGCATCGCAACCAATGCCACCGAACGCTACATATTAGCCGGGCTTGCGGATACTCCCAGAGGACTGTGGGTAGGTCAAACAATGGCGGCAGTGTTCCTCCCCTCAGCCGCGGGGAAGGCTGCAGGAATGCAGCAGCATCTGGACTTAGTGTTGGGTAAACACTGAGCAGAGCGGCTAAATCAAATCAACGGACGTGTTATAAATTCATCAAACACAGCTCATCTAACATATCCAGCCTGTGTATGCCCTCCTAAAGACCAGGTAGCTTAAATATAAATGGCTATATAATACTGTGCTGCACATACAATTTTTTTTAAATTAAATAAATAATGAGTAAATTAAAATTAATACATTTTAGAACCATTAAGATTTTTGGATTGTGAAATTATTTTCATGATAATTAATAATCCCAGGTGCTTATTACTGTACACCATTTTACTTTTGAACTTTTATTTTTAAACAATTCTTAATGGCAATTCTCAATATTTTAATTTTTACTAGGGATGCATCGGGCCCGATACTGGTCTCCTGTACTCGTACTCGTTAAAATGCCCTGATACCAAACGCCGATACCACATAG